CCCCCAAACTCCCCCAAATTCCCCCCAAATCTCCCCAAATCTCCCCAAATTCCCCCCAAATCCCCCCAAAATTCCCCTAAATCCCCTCCCAGTGCTCCCAGTCCCTCCCAGTGACCCCCCAGCCCCCCCCCAGATGCGGTTCATGCTGCTGTTCAGCCGCCAAGGGAAACTGAGGCTGCAGAAGTGGTACCTGGCCACGGCCGACAAGGACAAGAAGAAAATGGTCCGGGAGCTGATGCAGGTGGTGCTGGCCAGGAAACCCAAAATGTGCAGTTTCCTGGAGTGGAGGGACCTCAAGGTGGTCTACAAAAGGTAAAACCCATCCAAAAAAATTCTAAAAAATTGAGTTTTCCTCCCTCAAAAAAAAAAAAAAAAAAAATTGAGGAAAAAAAAATCCAAAAAAAAAAAAACGTGTTTTCCCACCAAAAAATTCCATTTTTCCAGCCAAAAAAATGAGTTTTCCACCCATTAAAAAGGGGTTTAGGGATTAGGGAAAAGGATTGCCCTCCAAAATAATTATTTTTTTTTCCCAGAATTTCTTTTTTTCCATGCAAAAATTATCTTTCTCAAAAAAATGCGCTTTTTTTCCTCCCAAAAAGTGGCTTTTTCTCGCAAAAAAAAAAATCACCTTTCCCCTCCAGAAATGCCTTTTTGCCTCTTAAAAATGTCTTTTTCCCCTAAAAATGTCTTTTCATCCCCACAGAAAATGTGTTTTTTCCTCCCAAAAAATGCATTTATCCCCCAAAAATGTGACTTTTCCCTCCCAAAACTAACTTTCCCCCCATAAAAAAATTGCCCCAAAAAATGCGTTTTTACCCCCAAAAAATACCAACTTTTCCTCCAAAAAAATGCCTTTTTCCCCAAAAAAAGCAACTTCTCTCCCAAAATTTTCTTCTTTCCCCACAAAAAATATTTTTCCGCAATAAACATCCAATTTTCCCCAGAAAAATCCACGTTTTCCTCCCCAAAATTCTCTTTTTTTCCCTAAAAAATCCATCTTCCCCCCCAAAAAAATCCACTTTTTCCCCTAAAAATCCACATTTCCCCCCAAAATTCCACCTTTTCTGCCCAAAAATTCACCTTCTCCCCCCAAAAAATCCACCTTTTCTCCTAAAAAATCCACTTTTTCCATAAAACCCCAAATTCCCCCTTTTTCCTCAAAAAAGCTTCTCCTCAGGTGGACTTTGGAGATCCAAGGGACCTCCCACCTCAATTTTGTCCCCCCCAAACCCTCCCGTGGTTGGGTTGACCACAGTTGGGTTGTCCATGGTTTGGTTGACCACAGTTGGGTTGACCATGATCAGGTAGACCGTGATGGGTTGACCATCATGGGTTGACCATCATGAATTGACCACAGTTGGGTTGACCATCATGGGTTGACCATCAGTAGGGCTGACCATGCTTGGGTTGACCTTGATCAGGTGGACCATGATGGGTTGACCATCATGGGTTGACCACAGTTGGGTTGACCACATTGGGTTGTCCATGGGTTGGTTGACCACAGTTGGGTTGACCATGGTGGGTTGACCATGCTTGCATTGACCTTGATCAGGTGGGCCATGATGGGTTGACCATCATGAGTTGACCACGGTTGGGTTGACCATGGTTGGGTTGACCATGATGGCTTGACTGTGGTTGGGTTGACCATGGTTGCATTGACCATGGTTGAATTGACTGTGTTGGGTTGACCCTGATCAGGTGGACTATGATGGGTTGACCATGGTGGGTTGATCATCATGGGTTGACCACAGTTTGGTTGACCACAGTTGGGTTGACCATGATCAGGTGGACCATGATGGGTTGACCATCATGAGTTGACCATGGTTGGGTTGAC